TACTTTGTGGATCAAGTGACGTGACATTATGTCCAGGCAAATCAAAATGACTTGGGTCTAAAATTTTAGCTTGTGCGAAAATAAATTGTGCAAAACTGTGACGATAGGTACCTACTGTTCCTGAGAATTGGGAGCGGTGTGACGTCCCCTCCCCCTCCCCCTATCCCTCCGCTACGGCGCGGCGTATAGAAGTGAGCCGCTCGGCGCCCGGCGGGCGTAACCTGCAACCTACAACCTTCACTGCAGCTACTTCTATAGGTATACCCTGGCAGTCACTGCAGTTTCTCGCCATACAAGTTCGGCCACCGAACTTCTGTGTGTAAGGTGTGTCGCGGTATGTTTGTTAAGGTGGATCGCGGTATGTGCTTTTTGGTTTATAGCTAGAAATTCGTAATCGCGGTATTCTTGTTTTCGCTCGCCTTTTGACATTTAGAAACACGTCGAGGTCAGCGTAGTCAGAACCGTAAGTCACTGTCGCCCGATCGATTTTAGCCTCAGACCGAGTGACAGGACTTATCCACCTTCGGGCGAGTATATAACCGCAGCGGGGAGTGAGAACGGGGTCAGTGCCTGTACGCCGACCAGGCTGCAACGCTGCACCCGACCTCAACCACGCTGCTGGTAAGCTGGCTCGAAGGTAGGTTCCGACTACGCAGGGATGCTGTGCGGGCTCAAGGCACATCCCATAGATAGGTACATGGGTGTAGGAGCGCCAAAAATATTGGTGAAGGATGCCACCTGAACCTTATGAAAAGGGACAAGACCGTGCCAACCAACACGCACAGTGCAAGCGGGGGGGGGGGGGGCGAATTTCGCCAACCCCTTGTTTTTCGCAGATATCTTACGCCCGTATCATCCCATTAACGTCAAATTTTCAATGCCTGCCTAAAACTGAATTGTGCATCTTGCCATGACAGCAAGATGTAAATCAGGGCCTCGGCTAAGGAATTTTGACTTCTGGAGCAAATGGTCAAAGTGTGTTAACCCGCGCCCTGCTGGGAGGGGGGGAGGTTTTTGAGCACCCTCCCCCCCCCCCCTGCGGTTTTTCGCGGATATCTGACAAACGGCGGCACCATATCATCTATCAATTTTATGCATTTTGTGAAAATTTCAGACCAGGGTCCTTCAAGGTCAGGTCACCAGGTCGCTACAAGTGACCTCACCTCATAAACACATCATAAAATGTTTCAATGTATGCCATAGCTACACCAAGTGACGGATCGCTTTGAAGCTTTCAGCAATTGATAAGTGCAACAGTATGTACAAAATTCGGAATTTTCATATCGGTGACCTTAGGTCGGGTCAATTTTGCGACCTCTCTAGGCATTATAAGTCAATGGGAGAAAATTCAAAACCGTCTTTTTCGGAGGAAAGTCATTCTAAACACTCTCAAACACTAAATTACAAGTAACTTTGACACACTGAACATGAAAACGGCACCCGTGACCCCTGTTCATGCCCCTAGGGTCATCTCAGGTCACGAATGGTATCTAACAGTTTTTTTTTGCGACTAACTTTTGAAAGAGGCATGCTAGAGCGATGAAAACGCCTTATATATGTTCAGCTCGACGATACAGATCCACTAATATGCAACATGACAATGTCCGGTCAGGTCATGACCTTGACCTGAGGTCGAATTTTCAAGTTGACCTTTCAAGGTCAAGTTATAGTTCATTCGATGCGTCTTGACGAGAGGAACTCGATGCCGGTAAAAGTAAGCTCGTACAAGGCTTGAGTCAAAAGTTATTGCAGAAAAACTGTTTCCGAAAAAATCGGCTATTTTTGCAGTTTTTGCCCCCTGCAGGCAAAACCGTTGACGTTAGGTCAAATCTGAGAGAATTATTCAGAAAGGGCGTTAATAGGGCTATCGAATGCGCTTTTCCGTGGCGCTGTAGCTCTATTGGTTCCCGAGCTATGCGTTGGCTTCTTGGAAATTGTCGACATTCGACCTGGAAATCGGCGAAATTTTGCCTTCAATGACATCTGGTGACCTGACCTTTGACCTGACCAAAAAAGTGACCGAGGTGGTTTCGTCATTATTTTTGACGCTCTTTCGAACGCCGCCTTCTGCGTATCGCTACGTGGCCCAGGCGCCGAGTTAGAAGGGGGGGGGGTGTTCAAACCCCCCCCCCCAAGCAGGGCGTGGAAATCCAGGACCCCCAGCCGGGCGCGGGTTAAAGGAAAAGTGCCACCTTCGTGAAATATGAAGATATCGTTGCTTTTCATTTTGACATTATTATTTTTCATGTTCTTTTTAAATCTGGTGCCAGAAGTGCATAATTCGCAAAAAAGTATGTCAAACTATTTAACATATTGGTACTATGTTCATGTACTCTCTACCGCACCTTCTGTATGATGTCATAGCGATGACATCACACTCAAGCCAATCAGCCTTCAGAAGACAGTCTCGTCGGCTTGTGTCAGATTAGCTGATTGGTTAAAGCTGAGCTGATTGGAGCTGATTGGTTAAAAACCAAAGCCTCGCCGCGGGTGGCTGTATTACAGGATAAGAACGCATTCCTGGGATAAGGACGCATTCCTGGCATATTTTCTTATTTCGAGGGGGTACCTCCAACTGACTTGTGCACGGCACCTTACTAACCGGTCCCCAACTGTGTACCAAATTTGAGCGCAATCGGTCGAGCCGTTCTCGAGATCTGGAAACGACCCCTGCACGTGCGCACGTGCAGCAGCACCTCAACTCTGGCACATGGATATGCAGTGCCTAGTAGGTGTCTACCTGCATGCCAACTTTCAGCGCAATCGGCTAAGTAGTTACCGAGATATTGCAACAATTACAAAACTGACACCTCTTCGTTTTGCACGTGGCACGTGCATAAGGGGTCACCCACATGCATCGGGAATAGTCCAATACTTGGTAGAAGGAATGAAGCTACCCTACAAAAATTACCGCATGTAAATCGGTCAAGTGGTTGCTGAGATATAGGCCTCGCAAAAGCGTCCGCACGGCCGGCCGGCCGGCCGGCCGCTCATACTCAGAAATTTCTACATACTTTCAGAAATAAGGAAAGACTACGCTCGCTTCGCTCGCTCCGTAACAAATGGAGGCCGAAATCGGCCGTAAGGTGGGACACTCTCGGGGTTTTCGGACACGGGCTACAAGATGGCCATCTCAGTGTCAAACCCCATGTTAAAGGTGGCCCTTTTCCTTTAAAAAAACAGACATTTGATCAACCGTCGAATCCAGTAGTTCTAAGCATAGGTATGTGAAGACCCTCCCTTGCATTGTCCAAGATTGGTGAAGGATCCTTCACCAATCTGAAACTTTGGTGAAAGGTATCCTTCACCAAAGAGATACGTTGCTACACCTATGGATAGGTAGGAGCAAGCGGGTGGAGGGTTAGGTTAGCATGCGTGGCGTTAGGGTATTGTTAGGGTAGATTGCGTTCGCGGTAGGAAATAGGCTTCTAAAATGATAACGTTAAATTAGCGCAGTCCGTTATGACCACATTACGAAATTATGAACAATAAATGGGGCGTTGAATTGACCAGATGCTTTTGGAAACGGGATGAGTCGGAGGAGAACGGTGATTGAGCGGAGTCTAACTTTATCGGTACATTAGTAAAGTCATCATCAATGGCCAGGAGCTTCACTCCTAAACCCATAAGGGCGCGCTACCAACCGCGGCGTGCCTCAAAATGGCGGAGTGATTCACACTGGTACCACGATGCATTGTAACTTAAAGGAAATAGTTCACTTTTTAACATGGGTTTTGAACTGGAATAGCAGTTCCGTAGCTTGGGCTGAGACGAGCATAAATCAGGAGCTTTTACAGCCCAACGATCACCCTAGGCAAAGATATTCTATTTCTCGTCCCGAAAAAGGTGTCTTGCGCTGAGGATGTGTGCCTTGCATATATTTCCATCCAGTATGAAAAGAGCATGGGTCCCGAAAATTCTTTAGAAACTAGAAGAATTATCTACGAGAACTCTAGCGAAATTATCGTACTGATCAATTAGGACATTCAGGGGAACATTATCAGATCGAGCAGATCGCCCAAATGCCGGTGGCTGCGATAATTTCTCTGTTTCTGAAGAATTTTCGGGACCCATGCTCTTTTCATACTGGATCGCGTGTGCCTTACAGAAACTGAAAAGTTCTTCCTATATCAAAATATAGAAAATAATATTTTGTTATAAAAAGGTTTTATTTTCTTTGCTGATTATTTTGAACATAAAAAATCATAAATCCGTTGCAAAAAAAATAATTTCGTGAAAGTGAACTATTTCCTTTAACGTAAAATAGTAGAATTAGACATTGGGATGTTCGTGGCCCGAGTGGCAGTCGGGCACAGGCTGGGAGACGTCTCAGCCTAACACGGACATCAAGTAGAGAAGTAGTAATACAATCAGAGGGGAGGCTGCGAAAGGCCAAAAGGACCGGCACGAACCCCCCCCCCCCTACATGTGTAGGGCTCGTGTTTTGAAGGTAACATGAGCAGTTAGGATCTGGTAGTTGGAGGTAAAGTTATTTGACATTGATATGGAAGCGACGAGAGGAAACAACTGCGGCGCACTAGTTTCATTTGTTGGTTTTGTGCGTTACTGTATGCCTGGCCTATTCAAATACATTAGCCAGAGGGGTGTGGTAATAACTGGTGTAAGCAAATTGACCACGGTCAAAAATGCATTACCAGAATGCACTTAAGCGAACATTTTGGGATGGTCTCGTTCCTAAGTCGGCTAAGAGCTTCGGTCCAGAAAATAAATTTATCGTTGGCATACAGTAAAATACATACCAAACTCGGCCGGTGATAAATTTTCAAGACCTCAGTCCTTACTGATTTTTGAACTCGGCCTTCGGCCTCGTTCAAAAATCCAGTAAGGACCTCGGTCTTGAAAATTTATTTACACCGGCCTCGTTCAGTATTATATATTGTTGACCGCCGCAGCCACCGCGCCGCATAACACGCCACCAATACACAAGGCGGCGGGGTAAAACGCGTAAAACGAAGCATGATAGCTAATACAAATACCTAACTCATAGCATAAAACAAGCAACGTAAGGGTCGAGTTGATGAAGGATTCACGACTGGTGTGTATCAAGGCTCAATAACAAGGTAAGTATGTGGGTAACGGCTCATTTTTGAGTTCCAATTTTGAGTTATTCATGCTTACGCGGGATGTGTTTAGTTGCTTTGTTCATCTTTGGTTTGGCTATTTTTTCTTAATGAAGCTCATTTACACTTCATAAGTATTCTTGATAATTGAAATGAGAAGTCTAGTAGTTATAAGTGTCACTCAGCTATTGTAGCCAGGCTGGAAATGACTGGAAACAATCCATGTTAATTGTTACCAGCGACAGGTCTGGGCTCTGGCACAGGTGGCACTGTGGCTGGATTGTGACATAACCTTGTATTGCATGCCAGAAATAAAAATATTTACATGACAGATGATCAAAGATTTTTTCGGAAGCGGATGATCTCAAATTTTAGCATAAGGCAATGAGAACTAACCTTAGCTAACTTTATTCCTAATTCAATCAATTCCTACACTCATTATGCAAATCAACTACCCTCTAACAACCAGACTGGAAAAGTACACGTTATGCCGGATTGGGATATGTCTGGCGTAGTGGCAGGATCACTGTCAAAATTTCAGCACATGTCTGGCGTACCTTCACATGCACTGAATTCAGCACATGGTGGCAGCGGAATTTTGTAATACAGGGCGGCCTCAAAATTTTTCTTTAAAAGACGGCCACAGAATTTAGTCAGCACGCTGGTCAATCTAGCAGCAGACTCGCCCTGCGATGGCTCTGGAAAGGTTTCAGGATGACACGTCCCCACCCCAATCGTCAACGTCAAGTGCTTGAACTGGCAAGCCACCCTTAGTCTACTCAGCGGTGGAGCGTATGCTCAGGTGAGGCCTCAATCTTTGGCGTGGAGATGGTAAGGAAGACCTTATTGAACATTGTCGAGCGTCGTTAAGTAATACTACAGTGGGTTCCTGCCCATTGTGGTATCAAGGGGAATGAGAGTGCGGACGACCTGGCGAAACAAGCGGCCGCCCTGCCCTCAAACGCCTGCTCGCTGACCAGGGTGGTTCATTGTGCGGCCTCGCATCAATGGCGCGACAACTGGTTCGAGTCACTATTCAAGCCACTCCTCGGGAGCACGCCGCCGCTCCCTATCCCCGGAGAGGACCGAGAGGACGCCGTTTCGGTGCACCAGATGAGGGCGGGCCACTGGGATCGCTCGCTCCAGTACGTGCACCGAATCGGCTGTCTCCACTCCGCGGCATGCCAGCAGTGCCCAGACAAGCTATGCCCCGCGGCGCTCTGCGCCGTGTGCCGAGAAGAGGCTGATGTGCCGGAGCATGTGCTGCTCCAATGCCCGGCCCTCGCTGGCTCCCGAGTCCCGCCAGCCTCGAACACACCGCTCCGCCGATTTTTGTGGCCCCGGAACTTCCGGCTCCAGCATTTTTTCACGACACAATGCTACAGTGGGCTAAGCGTATTATGATAGGTGTGTCCGTGGAAATAAAAAAAAAACTTATTCGGACGCTCAAACATGGGAGAGCGTGCAAGGCTCCGGAACGCTCTGTCTGGTTGATATAACCTTGATTGCTAGATGTGCACAGTGGCTTAATTTTGGCACAAATAGGCACCCAATTCTTAGCGCAAATCATGCAGAAATGTCAGCGAAAAATCGCTTGCGCCGAATTTCGGCGCAAGAGGGTCTCAGGGGCGTCCGGCGTAGTGTATTGATGTTTTCCAGTCTGGCTCTCTCATGCTAAAGCACGGGAATCAGATGCGTGTAAACCCCAGCCAATGAGTAAGACAGCGCTTACCACCAAGTCACTCATAGACAATACTATCTATCCAGGTACTTCAGTACTTGACTTTCACCATGCAGACATTCTATAACTCAGGCACCACTGGCCACTGGGTTGATTGATGCAAAAGCGCTATCCAAATCAGGGTAGTATATTTTATGAGCTGTTTCCAATATTGTGACCTCGAGTGACCTTTGTGACTAGTAAGCTTGGAAGGTCAACTCGACAAAAAACGGACGGTGGGCAGCTGGTGGTGTGCGCCGACTGGCGGGCTGACGGTGCGGTCTGTGCTGCAGTCAGCCGCCGCGGGCGGTCCGCCGGTGACCGGGAGTCGCCGCCATGGACGGTCCCCCGGAGGCTCCTCCCGATGAGGAGGAGCAGCTGGAGGAGCTGGAGGCCGAGCAGGTGTACCTGCTGATGCGCAAGGAGTACCGCATCTCGCGGAACGTGCGCGCCCAGTGGTACTTCAACCACCTGGACCGCGTGATTCAGGTGCCCAAACGGCACCGGCTGGTGAGTAGTAGCGCACTGCCACACGTCCCGCCCCTCCTCTCTTCTTGAACAGTGCTTTCGCCTTCCCTCTCTACCATCTAAACAAAGCTTATAAGTGAGAGTGCGACAGCATGCTGTTCTACCTGATTAGTTCTGTTCAACTGTCTCTGTGGATGCTGATAAAATGGTCTGGCTGCCATCATTTGCATCGGTAGCCCTCTTAACACGGGTCGGGGGGTGAGGCTGGAGGATTGGCTTCGGATGGATGTCTAAGTTTTAGTTCTTTTCACACCACCCGCTTTGTTTACCAGTTTTCTCCGAAGCCTTCAGAGTTGATCGAGTCCGTCTTTGTTTTGTTGTATTTCATTTCTGTTACCATATAAGAGGAACACTTTCACTATACCTCGTTGTCTGGCTGTTTTATGTCTCACCATGCAGTGGTGCTGAACCTCTTTGTGACCTCCGGCCGTCAGGAGGAGTTTGGCGAGGAGCTGGACGTGGTCTCGGTGATCCCGTCGGTACCGCCGCCCGACTGGGACTCGGACACCAGCCACCTGTACCGGTACCGCGTCACGGCGCGTACCGGGCTCACCTTCCTGGCGCACGTGTACCGACTGGTGTTCTGCCTGGACCTCAGCCCCTCCGTGGCCACCGTGGTGAGTGGAGACGGACACGCGGTGCGGTGGCCCGCGGGATTGGAATGTGACTACGCTTTGATGGGATTCGACACTAATGCCACATGATTAGCAATTATTATAGATGGTAGATAGTTAGGTTAGTGATTGGCCAGTGATCAGTGAGATTGATGTCCCGTAGATAAAAGACCTTTTCTGCTTATCGATGACACTCTAGTCCGGCGCTCTTCACGCTCTTCGCTCTTCACGTACCAGATTTTGAGGCTGTTTGCTGGGCGGTGGACAGCTAAGGAGCTCCATAAAAACGTACCCACACTGTGCGTCATGCGGCTGCGGACAAAGTCTGACTGAACAGATCATCACTGTCCGCCTCTAAGCAAGTGTCCGCCTCTGACCGGCGCCTCTCTGAGCGTCCTCAGGTCCGTCTGACCGTTTCACCGTCTCTGAATGTGCCGTCAGGACACCAGCAGCGGAGTGGTGCTGCTGGATGCCGTGTTCCCCACGCTGAAACGCTGTCTGGAGGGCATCACACGGCCGGTAGGTGTCCGTCTACACCGTATGGTGATTGATAGCACGGTCGGATGTGGTGGCGCGCGTGCTTAATTGGATATGACACTGGACAGCTGTAACGTACGGACATATATCGATGATTCGTCTTGTTCTTGGTTACGTGATCGTATTGTATTTTTTCGCCTTATGCTATTTATGCCTTTATTCATCACCATCAGCCAGCTATCTCCCGTGTTTTAAAACCGTTAATAGCCACTTACGACGTGCTACACACATGTATCGTCCTTTTTCACTTGCTGATCATGCGCTTCCGTCTTTACTCTTACCAACCGAATATGTCGCTACCTTGTTGTAGTGCGTACGAACGCTCATCAAAGCGTCTGAATGTTATTACAGACACAGTATAACCAGTGTTTGCCATAACCGGCGTCCGTCCGTCTTTCCGATTGGCTTGTTGAACGTTCGGCCGAATCATCTGATTATTGCCCATTTGTCCGTCAGTTCTACGTACCGGGCAGTGAGCTTCTGTACAAGCCTCATCTGTACATCACTGTCATCGCACATACGCCCTTCTTCACCACCCAGACACACCAGGTAAGCCATTTTCGCCTGTTAACTTTCAGACTTCCTAACCACACGAACGAGCACTTCTTATTTCGTAATTAGCTAGCCGTTCCGACGTATTTTAGGTGTTTGAGTTGATGGATAATAGTTGTTTGTCATTTACATATGATGCTACGGCTGTACTTGTGTAGGTGGCCTGTGAGCGGTCCCGGTATCGTCATGAATTACCGTTACACATCCAGCCAGTGAGTGTCCGGTGGTGCCCCTACACGTCCTCCGCTCACGTATCCCGCTCCCTCGTCGCCAGGTGCTGGTGCAGGGCTGGCTGCTGACCGAGAACAACCTCACCTCCTTCCTCGACTGTGTGGCCACCAAGCTGAACGACATCGAGGACAAGTTTGCCGACGTGACGGCCATGGCCAACGACCAGCTGGAGGCTCAGAGGGTTAGGGTCGCGGATACAGCGCCGGTTGGGTGGTCATGGTAGCGCTGCTCGAGCCCTGGAGTTGAGTGCGGCTCGGTCACTGCGGTGTCGCCGTTTTTCAGCTAGTCTGGACGGGCTATTAGTGTGTGATTTGTCCCTTCTGTGCACTGTTTGCTCCCCAGCTGGAGTCTGAGCTGGAAACTGTTGTGTTTTGTCTCACATTTTGTTATTTGTGTTCCCCAGCCACAGTCAGAGCAGCTCAGTCATGTGTTTTGTCTCACATTGTGCTGTGTATCCTTAGCTGGAGTCGGAGCGGCTGGTGGGTAAGCTGTTTGAAGACGAGCCCTGTGGCGGTGACAGCTCGGCCGCTTCCCCCGCCGTGCCGATGGTTTCCCCGGACATGGGGTTCGTCAACATGCTGCGATACGGCATCCTGGCCCTGCAGCTGCTACCGGAGAACAGCAGCGCAGGTAAGCGCAGACAGACGGAGACGCGTTGATACTGGACGGGGATGGCTGACACAGACTCTGCCTCGCGCTGTCTCGTTTCGTAGAATCTCAGTCATCTCAGCGCAGCGCAGAGTCAGTCTCAGCGCAGAGTCAGTCCGCCTAGCACTGGCTTCTAGAATGGATCTTTGTCATAGCCCGCATATGCCCCCGTCGAATTTAATTACTTGTTTGCTGAAAATCTTTTATGTGTAGGCATACCAGCTTCTCCTGGCTACTGCCTTTGGTGGTACTGCTGTCAATTACGGGTCTGAAGCGGTGCCTCGACCCTACACCGGTGGCGATAATTAACTCATCCTTCCATCTTTATCAACTCATCATCCAAGGCTTGTGGTATTACTATGAAGTGATGACCAAGCCTATCGTGTTCTGGTCTGTTGTGATTGTGGTGACGTCTGGCGGACTGGGCTGGTCTGGTGGTAACAGTAACCAGACAACCTCCCTCCTTCGCCCGCCTGGGTCTGACGGTGGTGATATTACGGGAATGATGTTGACCTCCCTCTCCCTCCAGGTCTGGTGGTGGTGACGGACGGCGCCATCGGCCTCCCGGACGCCACCATGTTCGACTCCCTCCTGGTGCAGCTGCGTAACAACACGGTGGCCTGCTCGTTCCTGCGGCTGGGCTCCGGGTGCCAGCCGAGCGCCGGGCTCGGCTCGCTGCCCTACACCGACCTGATGCACTTCCTGGCCACGGCCACGTGCGGCGCGCTACTGGTCCGACTGCCGGCCGTGCTCAGAGACTACGACTACGTCATGAACGTCTACCACCGCGCCTTCCTCTCCTGGGGATTCCAAAAGAGTCTGGTGGGCCTCAGCCAGCTGGAGGAGGAGCACGCGACAGGAGCGGGACCGGCCGACGCGACCTGGTCGCCCGAACAGTATGGATGGGAACGGGGAAGGAGGGAGGGAGGCTGGACAGTACGGAGGAGGACGGGGGGGGGGGAGAGGGAGACGACACGGCCTGTTCGCACGAACAGTACGCAGAGGGGCGGGGTGATAGAGGGAGGGAGGACGACACGGAACAGCACGGAGAGGGGTGGAGTGTCGTAGGGAGGAAGGGAAGGAGCTTCTGATAAAAAAAATGCGAACATGAATGCCCTCAGGCCTCAGCTAGCTGTATTTAGAGTAGTGTGGTGTATCAATCAGTTGTTGAAGGTCATTCGTATTTTTTTGCATAAAATCTAAATTTTTCGCATTTTGGTAATTTGGAACGAAAGATTCCAACGGTACCTATATGAGAATGTGAACTCGTGCAAAGTGCTTCGATAAGTCAAACACAGTGAATTCGTCCTACATTCAAACAGTATTGATCGGAGACGGGCGACATCGTCTGACCGCTGCGTTTCTGTCCGCCAGTCCATCCGGATACCTGCCCGACACGCGGGAGGACCTCATCTGCAAACACCAGTCGTCTGGAGAGCTCCGGTCCAGTCTGGAGAGCGTGCTCAGCTGCAGACTGCGGGAGGGGTACAACATCCGGTCCGTCAGCGTCGAGGACAGCACCATCCAGGTGGGACGCCGGGCCGGTCATGCTGCGAGGGAGGGGTCGCTTTAGTTACTTACTGACCGATGGATGGGGATGGGCCGTATTTTGGTCGCCCAGCTGGTCATAGGGCTAGGGAGATGTGTAACTATGTTTAAACGCCTTACCTCCGTGCAACGATAGGCTCACTGTCCCTTAGTGATTAACTTCGATATGATATTGTTTTCTCAGTACGTAATCGACGTTCAAGATCGCAGCCTGCCGTAACCGCGAGTTCAGAACAGCTGCTGAACTGGCAATTGAGTGGCCTATCTTCTGTCTCAAGCGCTAGTAGCCTGTCAGTCTGTACTCTTACTGTTACGGCAGGCAAAAGATTCGTTTCATAGGATTTATCTATTGTCGCCTCTGAAGACGCTTGGCTCAATCTGAGGCAGACGATCTCTCTGAGCCTGCTGAGAAAGAAGCTCAGTCAACACAGACACAGTCACTGGTCCAGTTGCTGGCTCAGGACCTGGGGGTTGAGATGGTTCAACTGCGGTCAGCTGCGGGTTGGCACAGTTTGTCATGTCTGTGTTTGCTTCATGACAACCAGTAGTACATTCTCCCGTACTGACCTGGTTCACCTTCCTTGTCTGCAGGCTACCATCTCCAACTTCTTGTGGTGTCAGAAATGATGTGTCAATCTCCCTTTCCATATTCTCAATCACTTCTGTCTTTGCTTGCTGAATCTTCAGTTCAGTGTTCAGTTTGTGTCGTTCTTCTTTCCACTTCAGTTCTTGCATTTGGGTTTCCATCATTTTCATTTCTCTTTCCAGCTGGCACTTCTCCTCAAGAGCAGCTGCTCTTGTCTTGAGCTCCACTGTGCTTTGGCTTTCTTTTACTTTCAACATGTACAGTTGGGCTCTCATTGACATTCCTGATCTTGATGACCCGCTCTTCGCAGATGAACATTCATCTTGATCCTTTGCCTTCTTTTGGTAGACATCCTCTCCTTGGGCTGGTGTCAGAGATTCAATTGTTGCTCTCATGACCTCCAACTCCATCAGTTTCTGCTCATACGTTGTCCTGTGCTCATCATAATCTCCTCCCAGAAGAGTACGCAGGTCACCATCTGTCTGTTTCAGTCTAATGTAAGTGTGCTGCCATCTGGAGATCTTTGCAACTGTTTGCTGCATCCTGTCTTCATCATCTTCAGATGTCAGATCATCCAGAAGCATCTTTCCGTCTTTCTCCAGCTTGATCAGCATTTGTCTGAACATCTTCAGCTTCAACTCCTTTTGGTACTGGTAACCCTTCTCAGTCATTTTCAGTGCCTGGGCGGGCCTTGTGACAACCCGCTCTTGATCATCAGTCGGATCCATGGTGTGCAGGTAATTGGAATGACGAGGTGGGTAGGATTCAACAAAATTCTGTTCTAAATCTACACTACCAGTTCATGTTAGTCATGTTTCACAGTTAGTGCCAACTACAACATAATAAAACAGGATCAATCATGGGTAGGTACACTGTTAGTTAAAAACACACCTCAAAATTCAAGCAAATAACTACACTGGAGGGAAACCCTGGTACAGCTTTGTCTCATTGGGCCAGAGAGGAATTCATTGTGCCATAACTGAGAGATTATTACTGTTACGGCAGGCAAAATAATCTCTCATCCTAATCCGTCGTGCGGCCTGCGACGGATGGCGGCTGTTGCTTCCGCTCCCTGAGGAGATGCCGTCCTTGTGGCGCACAGGGCGGCTACCCACGGTTGCAGCCCGATGGCTTCATTCTCGGGACGCGGCCCGTTGGATGTGCGACGACCGGCACCTTGCGACCGCTGCGGTGACCGGCAGCGGTGCCCGCTCTCCTGACTTGACAACGGACTACATCTTCGTGCTGCCATGGGGTGGCGCCACTGGTGGGACGAGCGCCACTGGTGGAGCAGGCGCCATCTCTGAGGCGGTACAGCCGACCGGCTGGCTAACGGCGTCGAGCGCCTGATGAATGCTGCGCTGAGCGGCGATACTGAGTCGCCGCTCTCGAACTGTCGATGTCCCACTGAGCTTGTTGGACATGACTACGGGGCAGCCGACTAGACTACATCCTCGGCCGCGGCCCGTTGGATGTGCGATGACCGGCACCTTGCGACCGCTGCGGTGACCGGCAGCGGTGCCCCCTCTCCTGACTTGACAACGAGCTACATCTTCATGCTGCCATGGGGTGGCACCACTGGTCGGACGAGCGCCACTGGTGGAGCAGGCGCCATCTCTGAGGCGTTACAGCCGACCGGCTGGCTAACGGCGTCGAGCGCCTGATGAATGCTGCGCTGAGCGGCGATACTGAGTCGCCGCTCTCGAACTGTCGAAGTCCCAGTGAGCTTGTTGGACATGACTACGGGGCAGCCGACTAGACTTCATTCTCGGCCGCGGCCCGTTGGATGTATGATGACCGGCACCTTGCGACCGCTGCGGTGAGCGGCAGCGGTGCCCCCTCTCCTGACTTGACAACGGGCTACATCTTCATGCTGCCATGGGGTGGCGCCACTGGTGGGACGAGCGCCACTGGTGGAGCAGGCGCCACCTCTGTGGCGCTACTGCCGACCTTGGACCGGCGGGATGACGGCGTCGAACGCCCGATGACTGTGTGCTGGACGGCGATACTGAGTCGCCGCTCTCCGGGCACCATCCCCATCGACCAAGGCCCGGCTGGTGCTTGGCGCCGGATGCCGGATGGCCGCTGCGCTCGGCGGCGGTGCTGGGTCGCCGCTCTCTGGAATGACCGCTGACTCGTCTTTTTGATCTCGTCTTTGTGTTACCGTCTGGTTAGGCACTGTCAAACTCCCCAATATAACCTTTAACACTAACTGTCCGTATTCTAACAAACTAACATGTGAATCCTTTCCGACCAATCCCGTTTGACAGTGCCATAAATTATGAATTGTTCAATGTGTGATCCCAAATTATAATCAATAAACGGAACGGAACGGAAAAAAAAGATTCGTTTGATAGGATTTATCTATTGTCGCCTCTTTGATGTACGTAATAACTGAAAAATACATATAAATAACAATCAGTCCATAAAAACGATAATTGATACAAATATGACGCTCATTCATATAAAGCATAGATTATCACAGCCAAAATTATGAGAAATAAAGCAAATAAATGGTTAAATCAGTAACGTAACAAGTCAGTAACATATTGGCAAATCATTTGGATAATAACATAATCATAAATATCATCTATTCTGTCACCTACTCTCTCCTTCCTTTGGCATAGCCCACGTGTCAGATATCTCAGCGCCGAATCACTGGCCACGACGCGCAGTGCGCCACGCAAACAAATCAAGGGCCGCGTTCGCCGCGCTATTCCTGGGGAAACCCGCAAGCAAATTGTAATGCGGGAACACTTACACCTTGTATTTTACTGTCTGTGTGCAGATCGACCTGGTGTTGCCCTGGAAGTACTCCATCTTCATCGAGTACCGGCTGAGGTCTGCCTGGCCGGCCACCCGCTGTGCAGACAGCAGCGTTCAGTTCGAGCTCGATATCCGAGGTGGGTGCACTCAGACGGCAGCGCGTGGGCTCTGTGCGCGATGCGGGATCTCTGAGTGCTGGCGGTAGAGGCTGTGTGTGTGGGCGCGTGTAGGGGCGCCAGGGGCTGTGGTCTATATCAAGGCTCGACATAGGCTAGAACTGCTTACCTGCGCGAGCCGGCAGAGGTTTTACTCTGGGTTAAGTCGACAGCCGTTTGTAATTGTACTCTTCTTATTTTTGGCATGACTATCCTCCATGACTGCTGAATGAACGTTGTGACTGCCGAACCATGCAGTGGTATTTTACCTTTAGCTCAATGTCTCGTTTTTTCTAACTATTTCCTTCTATCTCTTTTTCCCGTTATCTCCGGCAGCTAGCTACGACTTTCTTCACGACGTGCTGGCTCCTTGCGCGGCCAACCGCGCCCGCTCGCCTTACCGCCAGGCCATGTTCAACAAGTTCTGGAGCCACCTGCAGGCGATGCGGAACAGCGACCAGCTGTTGGAGCACCTGCACTCGTTCAGCAGCAGCCCCACGCTGTACACGGTGCCGGAGGTGGTGCGCAGCGGCGGGCCGCTCTTCTACCTCTCGGAGACCACCGGCGCGCCGGAGCCATTCTCGGGGTGAGAGAGACATCCTCGGGCGGTGGTTCCGACTAGTAAAGTCACTGAGCAGAACAGGCATGGGGAGAGACACGTGCTGTTTGCCAATTAGAGAGGAAGTTAGTGGGTTTGATGTCATTTTTTTATGTCCGTTGGACGTGGATTGTTTGGAATATGGATGTTTTGCATTTGAGTCCCACGTCCGAGGTCGAATGTATACTATGGTTGGTAAGGATTGTTTGACATTGTGATAATTGTGATAATCACTCATCCGGTGTTTCTCTCTGCCACTGCCGCCTGGTGTTGCAGCGACCCGACGCACCAGGCGTTCTGCAACTTCTGGACGCCGGTCTGCATGCTGGACATCAACATCTGGCAGAAGTGGATGCACGCGCACCGGATCGGCTTGCTGCTCGAGCACGACCACCCGCTGCCGAAGCACCTGTACCTGCCCAACACGAGCGGGCGGTACAACCCGGTCCAGTGTCGACAGGCCGCCAAGGCCGTCACCGCCATGCTGGCTCAGGTGACCGACTTTGCGCTGCTCGACGGACACTCGTACATCAAGTTTCTGTATGACAGTGAGGAGGAGGGCAGCGGTGCGCCGCCCACCTCCTTCTACATGCTGCGGGTCAACCTGGCGGTGCGGCCGCCCTGTATGGTGGTGAGGCTAGCCTTCCTGGGAGGCACGCCCGGGCACCGGCGCAACCAGATCGTCAAGGACCTGCGCGAGCGGATCCTGGCGCTGACGTTCACCGAGAGTCAGACGGCGCTGTCGGCCGATCCGCCGATCCGAAAACACGCCCGGCTCCTGGAGAAGCCCGACCAGCCCAAGACGGTAGCCATTGATGACGGCACGCCCGAGCGGGGAGTGATGGTCGAACACTACGGAGGCAGCCGCGCCGCCGCGCAGGAGGTGCGCTGCTGCGTGCTGCTCAAGAAGCCCGTGGAGAAGTTTCTGATTCGGTACGACCGCGTGCCGCGCAACTTCCTGAGTCCGGTGATCCAGCAGACGCAGCCGGCGGGCCGGCCGCGGCCGCGCGCGCCGCCCCACGCCAGCGCGGTGAGCTCGCAGAACCGCACGGCCAGCACCATGTTCAACACACTGTCCCGCTACCTGCACCACCGGCGCTGGGTGTGGGACATGCAGGACGCCGGCGGGCCCTCCCTCTCCATGGCCGCCATGGGACGCATCATCGCCACCGTCATCAAGACGCGCCTGCAGGAGGGCTTCAGCTTCGCGCACACGTCGAACGGGGTGCTGAACCTGGTGCTGGAGCTGGAGATGCAGCACCCGCACTGCCGGCCGGCCGGCGGCGCGCTGGCGCCCCAGTCGCACCCGTTCGTCGTTCAGTATGTGCTGTTTCCTCCACACATCACGGCTCCGCCCGGCAGTGGCGACAAGTGAGTAGACCCGGAACCGAACTTGCCCGTCAGATACTTCTCATTGCACTAAGCGCTGCAACTGGTCACTGACCCACTCTTAATAGAATTAACACGTGATTGGCCAACATAAGATCTATGATAACTTGTCTTGTATTTTGCGATTGTCCATGTTCCATTGACGTGGTTTGGCTGGTCGTCTGTTTGACATCGTCGAGGTTTTTTTTTTCTAGAATAGCCATCAGCGATCTGCTGCATAATATTTTACAATGTTTTTCATGTCTTGTCCAAACAGCTCCACGCCTTTGAGTACACCCTCACACCCGCTCCCCTCCCGTGTCCCACAGTCTCTCTGTGTCGGAGGATGAGCCCGGCGAGGCCGAGATGGAGTCGATTGAGTCCGACTCGATGGCCGAAATCGTCACAGAGTGCTGGATCGAGCCGCAGAGCGGTCACCTGGTCACCCAGCGGGAGCGGCAGGTGCACTTCAACAACCTCACCTACGATCGGGTGGCCGGCACGTTCTACCAGCTCGACCGCGAGTGCATCTCCACGCTCGTCACCATGGAGTACCTGGCCATGATGTGCGAGACGGCTGGCACGGAGAGCGTGCCCGCGCCGCCGGCTGGCTCGTCACAGTCGCACGTGCCCGGCTCGGCGGAGACCTCCATTCAGCAGGTGCCGTTCTGCTTCGACCTGCCGCGCCTGCTGAGACGCTGTCAGCAGGCCGAGGTGCTGCTCTCCACGCTTGTGCAGGGTGAGTGCAACTCCACGCGAATACGACTTCACGCTGTACAGCAGTTGTGTGCAAGTGAGTGCGCGGGAGACGCTGGAGTAGGCGCTGGATGCGTACATTGTATGCGAATATAATTATAGGAGTTGGCTAATGAATTTTGGTGCTGGGTTTTACGAGGGAGGGTGGGGACTGGGTAGTAATGGGTTTTTCTGTATATTGCTTTAGGAGTTAGCATGTTTGGTATTTCGGTGAGACTCATCCGATATCTTGTCGTTTTTTTCACCAAACTGCGGTACTGTAGCAATTCGACTCATATCGGACTGCTCTGCTCACGTCACTGACGGCCAGCGCTTATCTCCTTGTCCACAGACCTTTCGGAGCTGGAGCTGCCCTCGCCGGCTGGCGACCCGGACCGCTACGATCCCGACGCAGCTAACCGCGAGCTCTACCGACTTCTACTGGATACGGTGGCGGCGCTCCACCAGCGCCAGGTGACGCTCACGGCCCGGGACTGTCGGCAGATACCGCAGCTGGTGTGCGAGCGGGAGAGGACCGAGCGCCGGCCGCACCCGCCCTTCGCGCCAGGTGAGATAGCTGGTCGTGGTACAACAGAGGAGCGGCAGTCCTATTGGATGGATGTACTGAGTAGAGAACTACGTGTTCTGGCTCTGTGCTTTTGTGTCTTGCAATGGTGGTGAACTGAAGAAGACGTGGTCTTTGAATAGTTAAGTTATTCTTTGAAATATTTTGTCAATAAGGCAATACGATTTATGAATCACGAAATTGTTTCGAGGCCAGCGTAAATGCACAGGTGCTTTTTTACTGATGCAGCACTAATTCGTATTGTTGCAGGATTTTGAAACCTTGAGTCAGTGGCGTGCGTTTATTTCGTTCGGCGTGTTTCTATATCATCTGGTAATCGCGCCCACTGAATGAATTATGGTAAGGTTCAGCTTTATTGCTACTTATACAGGATGTTAGTGCGGCGATGTGCCTCGGCCACAGCTAACCCAACACGCCATCTTTCTGCCGCAGACGCCGGCGGCAGGGTGGCCCGCTGGCGCTGCTACGTCAAGGCCATCAGCCCGACCCACGTCATGACCACGCTGCTGCCGGAGAGTTTCGACGACCTGAAGCTGCTGATGGCGTCGGCGGGCTCCGACGGCTGTCAGTACGTGCCGGAGGACGCCGAGGAGAGCCTGCGCGCGCTGTTTGACGCCGACAGTCGCGCCGACAGTCTGGCCGACACAGTGGGCTCCGGCTCGGTGTCTGTGCCGCCGCGCTCCGCGTCCCTGAGTACGCGGCTGGCCGGCTGCGGCACGTCGAGCCGCCCGGCCGCGCCGCCGCCGCAGCCGGCCGCGCGCAGTCGCGCCTGCTCGGCCGGCGCTGCCGCCAAGAAGACGGTGACACTGGTGGCGGCGGAGACCGAGAGCGAGGAGGGTGCGCCGCGACCGCCGCGCCGCCGCTCCCGTCACCCGTCTTCTCCCTCCAAACTGCAGCACTGCGAGTCAGACCCGGCCCAGTGCCCGCACCGGTCCCGGTCCTTCCCCAACAGCGATGCGGGCCAGCGGCGGCGCGCCGGCGGCCGCCCCAGCCGGCGCCGACCGGCGTTGCTCGGCTCACTCTCCCTGCCCGTGTACGTGTACGACTGTTCTCTGCGCTCACTGACGCAGCAGCTCGGCTACCGTGTGCGGCCCGGCCGGCCGCCGGACCTGTACCGAGACGCGCGCTTCTCCCTGTCGGAGGCGCCTCCGTCTCCGGGCTGGTCAGGCCGCGGCACGGACGAGCCGGCCGAGGACCCGCCGCACCTGGCCGAGCACTGCAACGTGCTGCAGCTGGCGCATACGCGCTCCTTTGTGGTCGGCGTGTTCCGCTCACTGCAGGCCTGCCGCAGCGTACACCCTCTGGACGTGCAGTGGGCCATAGACCTGTGTGACGAACAGCCCCTCGAGGTCGACATCACCGACTTCCTCAAGGTAGGGCGAGTGGCTGGGCGATGATGGTGAGCGGTGACTACATTGTAGACAATGCATGTTGTTTTATGTAACGCCGAGTGTTTGGTTTTAATCTGCTTTAATTTGTTTTAATCTGCTTTCGGACGTCGGACGCCGGCATAGGCATTAGGCAATGCGTGCCATCTTCGATGATGTACTATGTCAATCATCAGTCTACACGTACGCAGGTCTTATGGATTCATTAATTTGCGTGACAACCTGTCTGTGTGGCTACCCTATCCTCCTGGCGAGCCCTGTCATGAATCTGTCAATCCTCTTTGGCTGAACCCTCTCCTCTCGTCTACAGACGATCTGCGGCCACATCCGCGACTTCACGATGCGCTCGGCGGAGCAGCAGCGCCACCGGCCGGCCGACTGCGCTTCCGTGGCTGCCTCGGACTGCGAGCCGCACCTGCCGCTGTCCCTGCTGGCCAGCCACCAGCCGTGCGGCCGACTGCAGAAAGTGCACGCTGAGGTGCGCGCCAAGTTCGCCCGTCTGCTGCGGGCCAACTTCGGCACGGTGCCTTCCAGCCCGCATGTGCTTTTCTACCTGCCGCCCGGGTTGCGGACGGGGCTGGATGATGATAGCACGCTACCTGACGACTACCCAGAGAGAGTGCCCTCGGCGGATAATGACACCGGCACCGTCCAGCTCAACGACATCGACGCGTCGGATGTGTGGCGAGACGTGCATCGTCATCCGGAGGAGATTTTCAGCGTGGTTACAAAGACGTCTCTGTTGTCTAACGTCGACTCTGAGTCGGTGGGAGATCTTGACGACCGAGCTGTGGAAGTCGGTGACGAACGGGAGGAGGAGAACATGCCGCCGCTGTTCCTGCAACTGACCTGCACCACGCGAACGGGTACTAACACGTACACGCGTCACATCCTCGATCTGCCCACCTGTATCGGCGAGCTGGCCGGAGAGATGACGGAGGCCGAGCTGCCGCTCGACTCTGTCCAGGTGACGCTGGACATGTTGTGTCTGACGCTGCCCTACCAGGTGGACGCGCGGATCTCGGAGCACACCAAGCACCAGGTGCGAGCGACCTCGTTCTGTTCGGACGGACTTGGCTCGTCGGAGGTGGTCGAGCTGGGTGCCTGCGGCAGTGACGACGCCAGCGAGCACGACAGCTTCAACGCCAGCCAGCTGGGCGCGCAGCTGGGCCACCTGAGCGAGTTCCAGCTGCAAGCGGTGACCGTGACCAAGGCTGAGGTGCAGTGGCTGCTGACGGACGAGATTGCTGCCCTGCTGCTGGACAGCTTCCCGCCGCAGCTCGCTGTGCTCACCACAGTGGCAGACCACGTGCGGCGCTCGGCCGGCCAGATCCAGAGCTCCCGCTCCCGCCGCGGCTGTGTACACAAACCGATCCCGCTGTACTTTGTGTTCGGGCCGGACAAGAGCATGGATTTGTTCATGCAAGAGTTCCGGCACTTGCAGGTTCCCGACTACAAGCTGGCACAGCTGGACAACCTCTACTATCTGGTGCACGAGTCGTCCACCACGCAGCCGCTGACGTGGAATCTGGTGCCGCCCCTGGGCTCGCTGCTGCCGCCGGCGCGCTTCTCGCCGCCGCTCGACTCGGCGGGTCTGCGGCCGCGCACGCCGGACGCCCTGATGGCACAGACAATGCTGGCGCGCTCCACCAGCGTCGATCTGTGCCAGTACGCGGCCAGCTCCGGCTCCGTCTCAGACGCCGACGAGTGCACGCCCGAGAACCACCAGCGGCGGCCGGCGCCGCGCCGCCTGCGCCGCTCCATGTCGCACCGACCGGAGGCGGCGCTCTGCGGCGAGGACCGCGAGGTGGCGGCGCTGTTCGTGCAGCCCCGGCGCCGACCGCGCAGCCAGGTCTGCGAGCCGGCCGCCGGCGGGCCGCTGGAGACCCGCCGCTGCCGCTCGGCCGCCGAGGTGCGCTCCGAACAGGTCGGCTTCCCGAGCGCCGAGGAGGGAGCTGCGGCCGGCGACAAGACCTGCCGGCCGGACGAGGCCGTGCACCAGGAGGGGTACGAGGGTGACGGCTCTGACTCGGAGCAGGACGTCGGCACGGACACGGAGCGCGGCGAGCACATCCTGCTGCCGGCCTTCTGGCTGATCCTGCGCGTCGCCGAGGACGCGGTCGACACCTTCTTCCACTGCCGCTACAGCCAGGAGGACATCTGTGAGCGCAAGGCCGTGCACGATCAGGTGATTGCACGTATCAACGCCATCTGTCGGCGGGTGAACCAGATGCTGCTGCTGCAGCAGCTTGAGCGCACGCGCTACTGCGACAGTCTCCTGGAGCCTGAGTCGAGCGCCGACATCTCGGCTCGCCGCCGGGCCGGCGCAGAGCAGACGGACGGCGTGTATGCGCTGTCGGCCGGCGGCTACATTCGACCGGACGCCCTGTCACCCGACGGTACGTGGCGGGGTGGAGGGGTTACCAGACGGGCACGGGGGTAGAGGTGGGGTGGGGGCTACTCCGCCGGTCGGTAGACCCGCCTCAGGCTTACGCGGTTGGAATATTTTGAGTTGTAAAAATAAATTTTGGTTTTTACTCAACGGTTTATTCCTGATGAATGATTTGATTGTAGTTATATGAGCTATTCCAAACTCGAACACAGCTGTTAACTTTCCTTCAACCATCTACTACAGTCAGCTCCGTACCCTAAATGTGGAGAATGGAGATCTGACGCGACAATCATTCCATCCGTCGGCAGAGCACAACCTGCACCACCAGGAGGCCAACGTCAGGTACCAGCCGGGCCACTTCAGCTGCGACGTCAGGTGGCAGGCGCGGTTCGCGCTGCACCCGCGGCTGCGCGGCGCAGCGCACGGAGCCACGCCCGGCCTGGCCTACCTGCGACAGGCGCTCGAAACGTTCGCCGTCAGCAACCGGCTCAACATGTTCGTCTTCAAGGACCCCAAGCTTGGTGACGTCTTCTACCTGAGGTGGGTGCGGGGGTCGCGGTCAGGATAGCTCGCAGGCTGGGCTGAGGTGGTGTTGAACTCCTTTGCAGTTTGTAAGGGATGATAGGGGCTTGTCAGAGGGCGTTGGCAATAAGACAGTCGGAAATAACTAGGATAATGAGCTCCCGCTACACTCACGATTCTCTCTGAGTAAACATCGGCCTTTTGGCCGATGTTGAGTGTGGTACCTTGAACCTGGCTCCGTTGTGAGTCGGCACTGACCGACCGCGTGTTGCCGTCAGACTGAGGGAGTGCAGTGGCTCCGGAGACCACTTGTCCTGGCACCGCTGTGTGTTGTCACTGACCGACCACGTGCTACCGTCAGACTGAGGGAGTGCAGTGGCTCCGGTGGCCATCCGTCCGGGGACAGTGCGTCGGCCGTCTCCCTGGACGAGCGGCTGGGCACGCAGCCGGCCCGGACCAGCATCACCAGCCTCACCAAGGACGAGGTAGGCGCGCCGCTCAGTCCAGTTGCCCGTGGAGCTACCGCGTGTGACTGCGTGACATAGGATGCCTGGAGAGGGGCAGGATGGGGCTGTGTGCACTTTTTCAGTGACAGATTTCAGTGTGGATGTTTTAAACAGCGAAACCTGCCACACACTTTACACCGATGTCCAGTTTTTTAATCCCCCTACCCGATTTCTGACTCGCACTATGCTGCCACTAGTTCCAATAACACCATCGATACTCTGACACCCATTGACAGTCAACACCCTCTGACACCGACGATTCTCCCCGCCCTCAGCCGCCGCGTGGCCGGTGTACCTCTGTCGGTGAACGTGACGCCAGCTACCGAAGCGACTCGGAGGAAGGAGTTCTGCTGCTGGTGCATGGCATCACGGAGCCAGGTAAGCCCGGTGTCTGGAGGGGGAGGGGAGGGGATCTTTGGGGAGGGTCTCGTAAGGGGGCTTCTCAGGGCAGCACACAGTCGATGTCCGATGGTACGTGCCTATTTCACGGGGTCACCGGACTGAACATGTGCTGTGGGGATGAAGTTGACCTCATCAATCGGAACTCAATTGGTTCACTGTTACTGTCCCGTACCGGGTCAGTATGTATACGGGATGTACTTGCTTACTGCTTGTTCGTTTGTGAGCTAACCTGCCGTCATGGATCGGCGTCGTCTGCGGCAGGTCCGTGCATCAAGGAGGACCTGGTGCGCCTGCTGCACAGCCGGCTGGACGAGCGGCTCCTGGAGCTCTTCACCAAGGCGCTGCTGAGGAACCCGCAGACCAAGCTGGCGCCGGAGGACGTGCACTTTATCCAGCCGCCCAACACGCCGCCCGATCACTGCCTCAAGGTCAGGTGACATACTCAGACGATCGAATGAGGATAACGGGAAGGATTGTCTCGAGGGCAGTTTCAGGAATGATGCCCCTTGAAATCACTATCAAGTAACGCTACCAGCCGTAACAGAATTCTTGTGACTAGCGATTGCGTTCAGAGACGTGCTTTCACTTAAACGGTGCTGAAGGCTAATACCGGATCCGCTGGATTGACCTTGCTCCTACCCTGAGGTGTGCTGCCTGCCGACGCTCCTCGTGTAACGCTATTTTGCCCTGTGTCGCCAGTTCACCCTGCCGCCGTCTGCCAGCGGTCACCTGTCGTCGGTGGTCGGCTACCTGAGGAACAACCTGCTGCAGATGCTGCACCAGCCCAAGTACACTGACACCAGGGAGGAGAACCAGTTCCGGGTGAGTGCGCCGTCGACGCCGAAAGGACGGGGAGTGGTGGACCCAGCCTCCCTCTGCTGCTGATAATTGTTTGCTGTGTGTTATATTTATTGGTATGAGTTTTTTTTTCAAGTGGCATTGTAAGAATTACGGTTGAATTATGAATTGCTCCGTGTTCCCGTTCGTCTATCTGACTGTATCTCTCCACAGGACTGGGGCGGCCGAGAGGAGTTCGAGATGTTACTGTACGGGTTTATGTTCCTGTCTGTCTAATACGTATTTCTGTGTTCTCAGGACTCTGGAAGCAGCGAGAAGCCTGAAATGTTCTGTTTGTCTCTCTGACTGTGTCTCTATCACTTCTATTCACAGGACTGGGGCAGCAGCGAGGAGTCTGAAATGTTCCTGTACGTGCCGTCTGAGAAGCACGGTGGCCGCGGCATGGCGTGCGTCTCGCTCTCGGCGGTTCGACCGGCCGGCGCGCCGGCGGCGCCTCCCTCGGACGACGATCAGCACCACTGGAGCCCCAGTCGGTTCGAGGCGCTCACCACCACTCGGCTGTACGACCCGGAGGTAGACGGTACGTGGCTGGCTCTACACGGCTGTGGGACGAGCCGGGCGCCGCAGCACTGCCAGGGGAGCTGCGGACGCCGCCGGAAGGGCTAAGGGCTTGGTGTGTTTTTGAAAATATACAGTAAAAGCTTTGTCAGGCGAAAGACCGGGTCTAGGCATCAGGGCGATACGGAATATTGTATCGGAGATAGGTATGTCTGATTGTGTATGTCGTGAGGTAGTCGCTAATCAATGATCATTGTGTGCTGTATTGGGCCTCGGTGTTGATCCTGACCCGTGCGACAGGCGCTTCTGCCGTGCTGTTGCGGTTCAACATCTGGGAGAAGGGGCGCGCCAACCTGTCGTGGCTGGAGCCGCGGCTGCCGTCGGCCATCCGGTACGCCCTGTGGGACCGCTGCATGGTGTGGCACGTACTGCCGCACTCGCCGCTGGAGGGCGCCGGACCGGGACCGGCGCGCGACCTCTCCGGTGCGCTCAGAGGTCAGTGGCACGCCGGGGCTGCCTAGGGCCACAACCGCGGGACGCCGGAGCAGCCGACGGGCGGCAGGGCCGATGGGAAATGCGGAGTACCGCGCGGGCTGCGCTGGGATGGCAGTTACGCTGGGAAGATAAGGGATTTGTGTGGAATGTGTATGTTGTGACGTGTGCTGGGATTAATTTTGTGTGGGGTAGGTGACTGACGTGCATTTTCACAGCGGGTCGTGTGGGGTTTCGCAGTCTCAGATGCGTGTTGGGTTAGTGCGCTGCTTCCTGAGCTGTGAATGACTTGGTTGGCTTTGATGTGCTGGCATTTGAGGCTCACTTTGTTATCACTTACAGTATTAGTTTGTCTTTGCAGCTGCTGCTCTAGTGTGCACAACTCTACAGCTGGGCCTTTGTTTGCATTCACTCATTATTCAGAATGATGACGGTTACTTGGAACGTTTGTTTACCTTCCATATTTTACGTTCCGATGGCTTGACAACCTCCCTACACACCTCCTTTCACTTGTATGTATTACCAACTAACGAACACTTTTGCACCGTGTGTATTTGGCCGGCCGTGTGCGGTATCACAGTCCCCCTTCCCACACAACACACCGTCACGCCACACGCTCTGTGTGTACCATTCGTGACGTTACGTGACGACAGTGGGTGCGCCGCCACCACCTGCACTGCGCTCATTCTCGCTGTTCGAGTCTCCGGCGTCGAGCCGCGCGGCTGCCTCCGGTAGTGGTGGCGACCAGACCCCGTCCATCGTACTCACTTCGCCGGCACTGGAGAGTAAGTGGCGGCCCGCATGACACTTCAACCGTTCGGTAACTCAGGTGCATGTTCGCATGCCGTCCGTCCATCCATCTGTCTGGCTAAGCTAACTCCGCGTGGCTGCGACCGGCACTGCAACTGGTGGGCTGATCTCATGAGCTGAGCCTCACGGGCTGAGCCTCACGGGCTGCTCGTGGTGTCTGCATGTGCTGCCTGCTAACCTGAAGCCTGCGGCGATGCCTGGCGCACGCACACCGACTGTCTGGGCAGTGTGTAGGGCTGATTGTGTAATGGTTAAGACTGACTACTTTAGAAGTTGGTGGAATTGATCTTGGTGGTGCTGCGTTTGTTAGTGGGTAGTTTTTAGTGGATAGGATTGACAGTGTAATGTGTAGTGACTAGTGAGCAAGAGTCACACCGTCTGGGTAGCGGCTGAAATTTAGGTGAAGGTACGGCTGTTGGGAAACATTCATCGGAAAAATAGGCACACGGCGGATATTTTCGTTGTCATATTTCGCTGCCAGTTTCTGGGAAGGGGTTTAAGTTTGCAATACAATGTTTTAGCTGCTGTTTTTTTTTATAGCGTTTGCAATGTACCAATGTACGATGTAGGTACTTTGCAATGCAGCGTTTTAGATGTTATTTGTGTTAGTGCTGAGTTACTGGCTGGCTGGTTGTTGCCCGTCGCCTGTGTGGTCGTACCGCTGCTGCTGTGAGCCTGGCTGTGAGCTGTAGTGTTGTCTGTGTGCGCTGTCGGCTGTGTCGATCGGTCCGTTTCCGCTGTGGTTTGAGCTTATGTGTTTGTTTGTTTATTTGTTTTGTTGGTTTAGGCCCTTTCGGTCTGACAAGACCATTTCAGAGCCGGGAGGAAGATAGGAATTAGGGGAAGACATTGGTCCGGACAGGCACCCAAGAGTCACCGGGGCTGAGCCCGTCCGAATGGATAGGCCGACCCCCCCCCCCCCCCCCCGGCACCCTCTGCACCCGGCTACGGGTTAGCCGGTGCTCCCTTGGGAGCAGCGGTGCCGCTCCAAGGGAGCAGCCCGCATGAGATAAAGGTGCCTGTCCAGCCCGGAGTTGGGGTTGCGACGTGGAAGAGAAGGATTTCTGTGTCCTGAGGATGGAAACGACGGAACGGGATGTGTTTTGAGCTGAGCCCAGCAATAGACTGCTCTGCTCTCAGTGTCGTCCTGCCTTGCCGTCTGTCTCTCTGGCTGTCGCGGTGGGCGACTCCGTTTTTCAGTTAGTTTGATCGTGCGTTGTATAGACTGATGCAAACCATGAGTCCATGCGACGAGTGCTGCTCATGGCGTAGCTAGTTTTTGTAACCGAAACCAATAATGGAACCCCGTCAACTGCTGGTCGTGTCGCGCTCAGCCAGGAATACGCATTACGCTGCGCCTCACCCGCGGATCTCACAAGGCTGGGCGCTGATATGCGCTTATCTGCGGGTCTTATTGAGCTCATCGCTGCCCGGCTTGAGCGGCTGCGCTCCGTCCGTCCGTGCGTCCGTCTATTGTCTGTCTGCTGGACGATTATCTGTATGTATGTGTGTGTCTCTGTGTGTATGCCCGTCTGTCTCTGGTCATCTGTCCTTGTCTGTCGATAGATAGAATTAGTTTATATTTCAGTTTGGAACAGTCAGGTCTCTGTAAAAGCCGATATTGTTGGCTGCCCCGTAAAACAAAAAGACGTTGTCTTGGTATATTTTAGTATTCACAGTACAGTTAGTCTTGAAAGTACCGCGCATAGGTACGGTGGATCCATCAAGCCCAACTGAGGAAGACGTTGGGGATGGATGAAGATATCGATTGGTTCAGTGACTCTCAAATTTAGCAGCCCTTCCCCGGTTGGGCTTGATGGACCAACCGCACCATGCACGTTACTTTCAAGACTCTGACTGACTGTACACAGAACGCTGTATCAACTTCAAGAGCACCGCCTATTGTCTCTAAAATCAGTCGAACGTATGACTATGATGAATCTCAGCGCTACCAAACCGCGAGCACTTGGGTTCATAACAATGGCGATCGTAACGCAACGAATAACACTATTAACCCTATCATGAAACCGGATCTTGCTGACTTTCAACCCAATAACACATAACACTACAACCAATAATGATAACTAAACCGAATTGGCTGACATTAATTTGGTGGCGGACATTGATAATATTGTCGCCTGTTTTACTCGATTTGTCTCGACAATGCTGTTCGACATTTAATGTTTGATCTCGGGTTAATAACAAATATACGAATCCAGCCTCGTCTTCTTATGGAGCCTAACGGATTTTTGACGAGTTTTTGCTGGTAATGTTTGTCTGACCTGACCCGACCTGACCTGACCTGTGTCGCGTCTGCCGCAGCCGGCCGCCCGCTGGAGGACCCTCCTCCCTCGGCCATGGCTCGGTTCCTGGACCGCCGCATCTCGTCACCTCTGACCCAGCTACAGGTCAGTGACCCGACCTGAGCGGCCGACCGCACGTCCCCAGTCTCGAGCTGCATCAGGCTGTAGTGCAGGCTGCACGCTGCAGTTTAGTTTGCTCCCTGTCCATGGTGTGTTTCTAGCTAGCGGGCCCACCTAATATTGTTTCTGTTGCACTTTTCGATTTTACATCACCGATGAATTGCTTGTTTCACTCGTTAAGATGATCGCTTAGTTTCTCTAACATATTTTAACCAAATACTCAGTTTCTTGCACTACTCACTAGTGTTTGGTAATTCGGTTTTGAATAACGTTTATAGTCTGGCAAACGTGAGGACGGACGGATTTGAAGCGTAGCTCTTTGATGTACTTTGATGTACTTTGATGCACTTGATATTATAACTCCAATGCATCCGAGAACATTTTAGTCGCGACTTTTCAGAGAGTTTTTTTTCAGCATTGCATTTGCAGTGATACGTGCATTAATACGTGCGAAGTGATCGAGGCACTTTTTGCAGTCGACGCGTCCTAAAGCGCCAATAAACAAACAAATGATTCAGGCACTTTTAAGCCGTTCTTTCTAACGTTTGCCAGACGAAATTTTCGAAGTGCCTTGCAAATTTGAAAGTGCAAATAACTTTTACTACTACCGTCCCTATTTAGCAGTGAATTAGCACTCTGTTGGACGCCTTTCGTAGTTTTGCTGTAGCATTGGCCATGCACCCTGTATGTAGTACCGCTGAACTCCCAGGGACTAGTTCACTGTCGTGGGGGAGTGTCGGCTAACGTTGCGCACAGTCGACAGTCAGGCCGGTCGGTGTTTGGTCAGCAGGTGTTTGCGCTGCAGCTGCGGCATTTAGCCAGCTCCGCTCCACAGGACAGTAGCGAGCCGCCGTTCCCGGTAACTACCCGGGCGGGGACCGGCGCGGCACGCGGCTCACACCGTGCCTGACACGCTGACACTGACACACGCTGACACGCTCGGCCGCCGTCCGCTGACACGCTGACACGCTGGGCGCTGACACATAGCGGGTGCCCCGCTGAATAGTCGACCTTAGTTTCCAGGGATCTCCACCGTACATAACAGGGTCACCGTCACAGGGGCTGCTTTGGATGTGCCGCTTCATTGCCTGCACGGGAGGTGTAGGGATTGTCGCATCGTATCTGTATGAACATGCAATACAGCACATGTGTATTGTGTATGTATGTATTATGTAACTACCTACTTGGCTGCGGTGTTGTCTGTTGCAGTTATTTTGAGATACGGTTTAGGGTTCAACATCTCGTCTGAGAAACTGTCTTGAGACATAATTCACGGGAATTAGGGTCGGCGCTCGCCCGTAATCCCTGCACGTCGAAAGAAATTGGTAAAGCAGTCCTGCCTTTGCTACTTCCCGAGCGTGATGGGTGGAATGATAACAATCTGATATTATTCCCGATATTCTTTGTTCATGCACGATTGCGCTCCAGATCCTCTCTTCCCTTTGCCTTGCGGATTAGCTCAAAGTCTCATGCTGTCCATTCTGAAAAGCTATTGATGTTTATGTTATCGACTGCTCTTCATTTTTCTGCAGTCCTGGGCTTTCGTGAGTAATACTCTGTTCATTCAATGCTAGCTGTTGCTGGTAGCTCAATTCCACCCGCACTTACAGTTGGCTTTCGACACCGTTCATACCTTATTATGTTCTTTAGGCTAACGATAACCCAGTGCAACTGCACTCCGCGGAAATGGGCCCACAAAGATTTGAACGGTGCCTTGCTTATCAGCTGTTTTCACTTTTCATACCAGCTTCATTGCATTACCATGATGGTCCTTCTCTCATATGCGTTCCCTATGGCAAGGGAGCTGTTATAGCTGGGGTTTACGCTCTTATTTTCGTGCTTGAGCGCGTGCTGGGAGGGGCTGCGCTGTGTGAATTGCTCACTGCCTCACACCAATTGCGGGCTTGCGCTGTTGTGTTTCTTAAAAGAACTTATATTTATACCTCGCTCGACCGTTTGTAGTTGTCATTTTCGGGCACCGCCATGCAACCGAGTATCTTTATGGATCCGTCTTGCCTAATTTCTTTTTGCTAGTTGAGTTGGATCGTCGCTATTGACCATTGCATGATACGAATCTTACGCTGTTGTCACATTATTTACGTGCGCGTAATTGCATATGCTCGGAAACAAATAACCATTTTCTTCAGCTTCTGTCGTTACTTTTTCAGCAGGAAACGTCATAAAGCGACAGCAAACTGGTCACCCAGTAGGCTCTCCCCCAATTAACAGTTTGCTTTTGCGCCCCGTGTCGATAAATTGACTCTCCTGTAGCCCACTATTCGCCATGCTAACAGAACGATACATACTGCTCATTGCCCACTTACGTATGTCCGACCACTGACTTGCAACCACTGACCAGGACCCGCCGGCGGCCTGCTCGTCGGGTCAGTCAACGCCTCGCCGCCCCGCCTCCGGGGAGCCGGTACCTCTGCGACCCATGTACGGGGACATGCTGAGGCAGTGGCTGCAGTTCGGCAGTGAGCTCAGCGTGCCCAACCTCAAACGGCACACGGTCGTACTCAGCAACAGGTGAGAGAGCGAGCTTCAAACGGCACTCGGTCGTACTCAGCAACAGGTGAGAGAGCGAGCTTCAAAGGGCACTCGGTCGCACTCAGCAACAGGTGAGATATCACAATCCTCAAATAGCATACGGTCTTCTTCAATAGTTACGCGCCTCAAACGAACCACAAACAAATTTGTCCTCTCGCCCGGCCTGTCCGCTTCCAACTCCTGGCACAGGTGTGACGTGTCGTTTCTTGCAACTCCCCTGGTAGCTCTCTTTCAATCATCGCGTGGGTAGATGACACTGGCCGTATGCCCTGCCCCCATCCTTCTGAACCGGTTGTGTTCGGCCGCGGCTGCGGCTGGCAGGCGGCGTCCGCCAGCATGCCAACATGTTAGTCGCCCCGGTAAGGCATGCTCCGGATGAGTTCATCGCTATGCCGATATGTTCTGCTCCCTTTTTGGGCTTTCAGGTACACTGAGGTTCGTTAGTCACTGTATTGATAGTTTTTTGCTTCAGCCAGATACACTGGATGTACTGATCGTTTTGCAACTCTGCCAGGTAACTGTTCGTCACTATATCGATCGTCCCCTTTCAGGTACACCGTTGGCGCGTTCGTGTCCGGTCTGATGCGACTCATTCAGGAAGAGTGTCCGTCTCTGAGCTGCCACATATGCCGAGCCGTGGACGGAGGTCACGTGCTGTGTGACAGTGCCGACCTGGACAGTCACGACTGCGAGGGACTGCTGCTGGTCGGACATGGCCACAGGGAGGACTGTGAGTATCACAGGTGGGACTGTGAGTATCACAGGGGGGACTGTGAGTATCACAGGGACTGCGAGGGACTGCTGCTGGTCGGACATGGCCACAGGGAGGACTGTGAGTATCACAGGGGGACTGTGAGTATCACAGGGGGACTGTGAGGGACTGCTGCTGGTGGGACATGGCCACAGTGAGGACTGTGACTTGTGAGTCTCACAGGGACTGTGAGTATATCAGGGGACTATGAGGGATACAGGGGGACCGCGAGGGACTGCTGTTGGTGGGACATGGCCACAGGGAGGAGTGTGAGTATAACAGGGACTGTGAGGGATACAGGGAGGCTGTGTTACACGGGGACTGCTGCTGGTTGGACATGGTCACCGTGGGAGGACTGTGAGTATCACAGGGAGGGATGGGAGCTACACGGGAGGACAGGGAGTGCGTTCCCGCTCTGAGTTGCGGAAGGGACTGCGGGCCGTGGGTTACACAGGGCGAATGTCCCAGCCAGCAATTTTGATCCGGGCCCAAGCAGGCTCAAGTGCGGATTGCCCGAGATTTTTAGTCGGGCTAAAGTCGGCTAGCGCTTGGGCTAAAGTCGGCGTATGACACAAATACGCCGACTAAAGCCCATGCTCTGCCGGAGGTATGCCCGCTCTGCGAGCTCCGGACAGCCGTAGTTTAGCCCTAGTTGAGCGACGATTGGCGATAGCCCGATTTAAGCCCGAGCAGTGAATCCATTTATATAATGGAGATTACTCTGGGCCCGAGCGGGCTGAACTCCGGCAAGCCCACTCTGTGTGCCCTGTCTATCCCGACTTAAGCCATAGAAATGAATGGGGTTTATACATTGCAAACTGCTGTGGCTTTGCTCGGGTTCGGCTCGAGTGATGGCTCCTGTTTTCTCAAGTCTCGACTTGACTTCATCTTGCTTTTGCTTCACACTGGATCAAGTAGCAAGGAGCAGCCAATGCACTTTCAGCAGGTTGTGCGGTTTCAATGCATATTTAAAAGTGTTACGGTCACTCATATGCTCTGTTAACCGGTCATCGAGGCTCGAGCATTACAAAAGGAAAGTAGTGGTTGACTTTGATTGAATATATATTTCAAACGACTACAGACACGTCAAATGAAACACAAATACATGAAACAGTGGACTGCAAACTGCAGCAGTAATATGGCATGAGTCATGAAAAAACGCCATCAAAACTATAAAACAATCACAAGGCCCGCTAGCCTCCCTCCCCGTTCATAATACTTGGTTAAACACTCAACTGAAAGCATAAAGTAAGGACAGCAAGTAATCGCTCATAAGACATAAAGCAATAAGCAAACAATCGTTTATAAGGAACTTCACTCTGGTGAATGGGAGCTTTGGAGGCGTCTGGCTCCTCCACACACACACATCTGCAGTAGTGGTCGGCCAGCTTTCGGCGCAGTTTCCGTATATGTAGGTATACCTACTTAATTATAAGCAGGCAGTTTCCGCTAAACCACTTGGCGAGGGCAACTGCGGCGTCCACCCGGTCCTGGTTTGTATAACTATTCCATTTTTTGGAACCATTTGCTCTAATGGTACGTACCTGAAAAAGAGATTAATTGGTTTAATTTACATTGCATGTTTGCTTGAAAAATAACTTATTGATGCATTAATACTGTAAAAACACTTCGCATTGATCCGTATAAAATGTTCATTTGATTTTAAATGCGGACAGAGAATGAGCGTGCTCGGTGATAAGTAGATAAATATTTGTGTTTTGTATTTCATTTTCCTGGGTCAGAAGTGCTGGTATTTCACAAAGATATAAAGGCACGGAATGCAGCTTTTCTGAGCGAGGTATAAGTCGCCAGGCTGAACAGCTATTCAGCTTCATGTTTGATGGCGTCAAACTCAGTCAAAATCATGACGTTTACATACGATCAAGCGCACCATTCAATACACTTATGACTTACCTACCGTAAAACTCCATGCCAGTCCACTTGATAAGAGCAGTGAGCACTATCCCTTCTTCGCGCTGTCACACGCGCCCAAACATCAACCACCAAATGCCCCAACACCGTGTGTCGTTTCGTCGCACAGCGCACAGACTGTCACAAACACTGCACATGATTGGCGCAGAACTGCGCATGCGCGAACAGCCGAACAAGTATGGCTAAGCTCCGGCTTTACTCCAGTTAGCCGAAGGACACAGCCAGCTTGATCAGCCCGCGCTCCGCCCAAGTTAAGCCTGTTTTGGATGCGCGGGCAGATGTCGGGCTGAGCTACTGCTATCCGCACGTGGGCATAGCTGCGGCATGCCCCAGCTCAGCCCTAGTAAAAAATACATTGGTTTTGATCAAAGTGGGCAAACCCAAGCTAAGCCCAAGCTGCCCGACGCTTGCCACAGTTCAGCCCAAGCGAATTGCTGGCTGGGGTGAGGAAGTGTGGGACCGGGGGAGGTTGTGATTTACACGGCGAGTGCTATGGAGGGGGGGGGGGGGGGCAGGGGAGATAACCCTTGCCATAATGACAAAGCTCTGCCCGGCCTTTCCCTGTGTCTCGTCGTGCTTTGCCGTTTTGTCAGCCCGGCCCCACTATGTTTCAGACGTGCGGATGGCGGCGCACCGGCTGAGTTTCAGCGGTCAGCTGGGCACCCCGACGCCGGCCGAGTCGACGCAGTGCTCCTCGGTGCCCCCCTCCCCGGGTCCCTCCACGGGCAGCCACTCGTTCCGCAGCCCGGGCGACCTGACCGCCTCGCCCGGCTGTCTCACCACCTCCATCCCACTGGCCAAACAGAAGCTGGCCTGGGCGCGGGTCAGCGGAAACCAGGTGAGGGGGTGAAGAGTGGCCACTTGTGCGTTTGCGCGGTGTGAGTGTTATGTCAGGATGGCCGAGCGGTCTAAGGCGCTGCGTTCAGGTCGCAGTCTGGTTCTCCAGGCGTGGGTTCGAATCCCACTTCTGATAAACTGTTTTCACCGGCCCCCTGTAGATCTACTGAATGGGTGGCGTTGGAGTATTCATCCGAGCACCAACCGACGTGCATCGCTCGACCGTTCCGTGCTCATCTATCCTCAGGATACTAAAATCCTTCCACTCCACGCCGCAACCGCCCTCCGGGCTGGACAGGCAACTTTATCTCATGCGGGCTGCTCCCATGGAGCGACACCGCTGCTCCCGAGGGAGCGCACCCCGTAGCCGGGTGCAGTGAGTACCTTGGGGCTGGGTGGCCTGTCCTCTGGACGGGCTCAGCCCCGGTGACTCACTAGGGTGCCTGCCCAGACCAATGTCTCCCCCTAGATCCTATCATCCTCCCGGCTCTGAAATGGTCCCATTGGACAGAAAGGGCCTAACCCAACAAAACAAAACAAACGTGCATCGCCCGTAAAGAGTGAATTACTTGGTGGTACTGTTTATGCAATTATACCTTCAAAATGGCTTGCTTCCACGATTATCCCATTCCTTTCTGACTCAGATGCTCGACATGTTGAAAGAGGCAGGCTGCATTGTGACTTGTAAGCTGTGGGTTTTTAGGTAGCATCAAAACAATGCAATTCACTGGGGGTGACATCCCTTATTAGATTTTTGTGAGAATCACATGCCATTTGTCTTTTAGGTGGAGCTGTACACGTACAACTGGCCCAAGGAGAAGTGGGACCACCTGCACGTCAAGTGCTCGGACCTGTGTCAGTGGACGAACGCGCGCTGCTCTCTGCTGCACTCGATCGTGGCGCAGAAGCTGGGTCTGTTCCACCATCAGCCGTTCACCAGGCGGCCCGACCAGGCGGCCGGAGAGGTGAGGACTTCCCTTTCCCCAGGGACGAAACGAGA